ATGGTCTTACGTCCATCTTGTACATCACTGGCTTCAGTTTTATCCCCAAACCTGCCAAAGTCTCTCGGAGAGGCTCAGTCTCTTCGCTGAGCACTTGCGAGTAGAGTTTATACAAGGGTTCGAGGATGAACTGTACAAACGAACGCCCTTGTTCAGGATCAGCGGCTTTGCGAGTGAACTTTCGCGTGTCGTTGTTGAAATAGATATCTCCCCAAAGTCGGCCAGCAAAGGCAGAAACGTCGACTTTGCCTGCATAAATGATATATTTCAGCTATTTTCAAAATGAGATAGAGAGCGTTGTGTACCAAAGGAGTCGGCATACATCTGTGCAAACGATCGCACAGTGAAGCACCAACCCATGTCTGTGCTGGCAAAAGCCACATTACCCAGCTCTGGGCTCAATCTCAGTTCTGGGTCAGGATCGATCCCGCTATAGGGAGTGTAGCATCAGTTCTACCGTACCCAGATGAGGACGAGGTATCAAACCTGATGAATGTATTGATTTCCTCAATAGTATGTCTGATCTTGTAATATGCATCAGTGGGTTTTATTCTGAGTTCCAGAATGAGGCGGTCAATTTTGTTTACAACGAGTGTAATTTTGATGTTTTCCTGAATTGCATGTCGAATTATAGCTTCTGTACCAACCATAAGCTACGATTAAATCAGTACTATCGTACACAGGACAGATCCTGGACTCACCCCTTCAACGACGTCCACAACCAATAGTATACCATCCACCAACCGAATGGCCGAAGCTACTTCGTCCATGAAATTGACGTGTCCAGGAGTATCAATGAGATGAATCAGGTGCGATTTACCAGCTGTCGTTGAAAGGATAAGGGACATTGGTGAGGATTTTATGGATATTTCGCGTTCTCGAGACAGTACATGTGTGTCTGTATATCTGGTCTAGGGTCTTTGTGAGTTGACTGTAAGAAGACTGGTAAACAAATATAAGCTTACAGGTTTATCCGCATCCCAGTCCAGTTTATGTGTCTCGAACACGAGCATATCGAGCAACGCAGTTTTGCCATGATGCAGATGCCCTACGACCGCTACGTTCCGTATCATCTCCGGGAACGAAGTCATATTTAACAGGAATCTGTAAAGCCCTCTATAGACTCGTGAAGCCGGTAAACGAATGTGCAGCGCCTACCCTTTGTCAAATCGAGTTTCCGGCATGCCTTTCTCCTCCACGGTCCATTTCCGCACTTTTATTGGGGCGATGATAGGTTCGGAAAGTGGTTGCGCGTCTTCTTCCTGCACCAAAGTTTCTACATCGGCTCCATACACGTCCGACGCGGATGGATAATACTGTTTGTCTTCATGGAGGACGACAGCGTTATGTACTGGTTCTAAATATATATTGGTCCACGGAAGGGTAAAAAACAACAACCTGAGAGGGTGTAAGAATCACGGATACGATGTTTAATGCATACCACTGTCGATTTCCATCAGTGCTCCCTCTCCAAAACCTTCCTCCTGACCTCTCATGGGCTCATCTTCATCGTCAAACCCTTCCAAAGGCGCTGAGGCACCGGGTACCTGGGGTGTAAAAGTTCGTTGCTCATTGTCGGAGTCGTCCGAGTCAAGATCTGCACCAATGTAGTTTCCGAATTCATCATAGTCGTCAAGGGATGCCATTTTCGGCTGCAAATTTGGACGGTGTCGGGTGTATTGAGCTGCTCAAAACCCTCGAAAACTTTCAAAGGTTTCAGGTCGACGCTAGTCCCTCGAAATCGAGATGGGGTACCAGGAAGAAGTTTTGGAACGGTTGAGTTTTTAATTACATAAACATCTAACGACGCAGATTCGACGCGTGAGTTCATTCACTGTTTATTCCATCCCTCTTCATCTTTTTGAATCCATGTTTACAGTGTTCACCCACGTACTGTCCGTGTCTGTTCAACCTGAACATTTGACTCATTACACCATGCGGCTGTAAATTGTGACTTAGTTACACCTACAAAGTAATGAATTCACAGCTGAAAGCCCGTGAAGTCGAGTCGCCAGTGCTTTCCTTTCGATTCTTGATTCAATTTGCTCTCATCTCTAATGTGGTTAATTCGACGTTGACTCACGCATGTTTCACGAATATTGAGATTTAGTGTATTAGTGCGGGTGTCGATGCATTAGTAAATGGACTGAGGGGGTAGAACCGGTAATTCATTGTTTCGGGGCATGGTGAAACTATGATTGCGAATCAGCAGCATGAAGTCATGCAATAATGAAGACATACGATATCGCGCAACTGCGCTTGTGCTTCATTAAACTGCTTCTCCAAATATTTCGACTGCGCCACGTTCATTTTAGTCTCGAAGTCTTCTGTAGTTTTGGGCCCGTACCTTTTTGTTTAAGCTAGCAATGTCATCTGAGAGCTCCTTCTCCTGTGTTTTTAATTGCTTCTCCATCTCCTTCCTGGGTACCATCATGAACCTGTCGAAGTTTGGGTAGATATAATATCGGATCAGGCTAGTCAACGAGCAAATACATCTTTCCGACACCTTTATATAGGTTCACATCCTCCTTGATTGCACCAATTTCGTCGATGGTGAGCTGTAATATTCTTCGTTCGCGCTCCTTCACAGAAGTTTGTTGTGTAGTGAGAGTATGGGCGCGTTGCGACTGAATTGCAGTTTGTTGAATTTGGACAAGGATCTAAACTGATCTTAGTGCATTTGATACGTTAAGACAAGTTCATGCAGACTTTACGAAGAGTATCGTCTGACAGCGACATGGTAGTACCGAAACAAAGAGTGTAGTACACCGCACACGTGCGAGGATTTGAGATATTCAGCTTTGACTTCGTGGAAACGAATGCTCTTCTCCTCTCTCCCAGCAGAAATTTATGCAGCACTTATCGAGCAACTTGATGAGCCTGACGTTCGGACGACTCTTTTTGCCTTGACTCGGGCTATTCCTCGCTCTCCTGTACCGCGATACCAACTCTTTCGTCGCGTCAACATCACCAAAGCAGACCAACTTATCGCTTTGTATCAGCGAATTCGACCTCGTAAGCAGGACATTGAACATCAGGGTGAAGATCCTTGCAAATGGGTGCAGGGCTTGTATTTGGAGACATGGACAGCAGATGCAGAAATTGTACTCAACTTACTGACGCTACTACCGAATCTAGAGGCATTGACGATATGGATTGGCCCAAAGAATTTCACCCCAGAGCACCTGGAAGAGCTTTTTTCTGTTGATCGTGGGGGACGATCTTTGAGATGCGTGGAGAATTTGCTCTATCTTTCCCTGAGATTTAGACCATAGTGTGTATTCAGTGATTCTGTTTCATGTTTCTACATTAATATAGAGTTCAGTGTCCAGAAAGCTACTTATCATCAATTCCTAAGCGTAAGTAAATTGTATGGTTTCGCGCATTCTACTCAACGGACCATAGGGCTCCTACTTTGATTCAATCCTAGAGGCATTATCACGCTGGCCGCCAGGCCGTCTTTCTACTTTATCCATTGTCCAAGATCCTCTGTCTATGGAATCAGGTACGAGCGAAGGTTCCGAAGTCAGCCCACCACCTACCTTCTCTCTTGGCCTTCCTCAGCGCACCTTAGCATCAGGATTTGCTCAGCCCATTGTATTCTTCCAACTCGAATCGACATTTCCCGGCCTTCTTCGTGCACCGTACCTGCACGTCCCTCTTCAATATCTTCGGTTGCGTTTCCCCTCACGAAATATCACCCGATCTCTGACTCAGGCACCGGTCCCCTACTTACCGTCGTACGGAGCGTCTATCCCTGCAGGCTCCAAACCATCCAAGAGATACGTCCGCCATGTTGCAAACGCTCACCTGCCACCAACTCCCTACCTGAAATTCCTAGACCTTTCCACTTGCCTTATTTCAGAACGCTCTCTTCCTCAGATACTCATACAGTATCCTTCCCTTACACACATCATTCTAGATGACTGTAACATTCTACGCAATGGTGACATTGCAGTTAGGGACGATTCGCGTGAATGGGGTAGCATTGCAATGAGCTGTGCGATTGCCGGAATTGGTAAAGCGAAAGAGAAGGAAAAGTTGGTGAATGCATGGCTCAACATGCCTGGAGTTCGACAGAAACGGGAGCAAAAATTGGATGATAGAGGTCAATATACACAGAACAAAACACGTACTCGAGGGAGGAAAGGAATAGCTAATGCTTCCCTCTCCATCCACAAGAAGGATATTACGTCTGGGTCATCCATCACAGAACCACATGTCCATGATGCACCTGAACGTATCCGCATCCTGCCTCCTTTGCCGACGTTACGCCATGTCACTGCTAACCTCTATGTTCCTCCGTCGATGATTCCTTCCGAAACATGCGCTCTTCCACCTGATGTTCTTGATCCTCTTCTCGTCAACATACACAGAGAATGGGAACGTGGATGGGCCGAGGGCTTGGCACAACTCATCAAAGTCCGAGAACGCTTACACACCAGCTGGCGGAATAATTTGGTGCGCGTTATGAGATTTGCCACACCCGAAGAAATCAGTACATTATCGAATGATTTCGAGAAACGCTTAGGATCATCAGGCACTGAGGGAAGTTCTTTGTCGCGCTCACACTCACCTACAAACTCTGAGACCGGCTTTTACGAGGCTGGTGATGAGAATGAAATCAAGGCTTTGGAAGACCCTCTTGCAACTCTAATCGAAGTCACAGACAGGCAAGAATTTGACCTAGATATCGGTGATAATTCCTCTACTAGCATTGGAAAGGCACCTGTTCTATGCTTGGCTGGTAGTTCATTAACGTCCTCTATGAGTTACGAGCAAAATGCATCGTTACTGTATGGAGTTAACATGGGTACAGTATGTATTCAGGGCCTTGATCATGCCTCCAGTTGTGCTCATGTTGCAGGGAGAAAACTCTGGTTGGATGGAATACCATGAATGTAGAGCGAAGATATCAGATTCGGAAACATATGGAAAATATGGATGTACTGTATGTGAAGGGACCGTGTAATTGCGAATAGAGCAAAAATAATAGTTACAACCGACGACGGGGATCGAACCCGCAACTTCAGCCTTAGGAAAGCTACGCGCTACCATTGCGCCACGCCGGCATCATTGATAGTATCAATTGTCGCAGCTATATTGGACTACGTTATACGATATCCGCATGTTATATTTGTAGTTTTTCTGCTTCAGAGCGCTCGTGGTATAAAGTGCTCTACAGACTACACTGCTGGACAGAATTCGACGATTTTCTTATGGATGCGCCCTCTCAAGAATTTTGAATAAATTCTTAAGAAATTCCTGAGATAGAGGAGCGCCCAAACGTGTAGAAATTCTCAAAAGTAATTATTCTCAAGAATTCCGAAGAGACTCTTAAGAATATCTTCTAATTTTTGAATATACCTCGCGCGCACATATCACGGAATCCCGGAACCCGAAATAATAATGATATCAGAATTATCAGACCACTTTTTATTTTCGGAAATTTTTGCTCGCAAAATGTACTACCTATAGTACTACATGGTTTACTATGCATACTACGATGAGGAGTATAGTCAAATTATTACAAATTTTAATGGGCAAGATCTTGACTCTTGAAGTTTGAGGCTCGGGGGCAAAG